TTTGAAAATCGCTTAGGTGATTATCGCGTAATAATCACCTCAACGGCAACCAATCAGCGTGGAGAATTTTCATTAATCACCTATGTAATTATACTAATTAGTAATAAACAAAAGAGATTAAACTATGTTCCGAATATTCAAATATTTGACGAACAAACAAAAAAGACTCTAACTTTGGAAAGAAAAGATGCCGTTAAATATCTGGGTATATTTATAGATTCTAATCTTACGTGGAAGTCACATATTGATTATATTTCCCTCAAGATTAGCAACCTCGTACCCAGGGCTAGTGTCGCCGCCTTCAATTCGCGACTAGCCCTGGGTACGAGGTTGCAAGATTAGTCGCATAATTGGTATCATTACAAGATTGAGACATTTTGTTCCTAAGCACACATTATTACGAATATATTCAGGTTTAATAAATCCATACTTGACATATGGTATTTCTGTTTGGGGTCAAGCGAATAAATCAGTATTAAATTGTTTACTAATTCTTCAAAAAAAGGTTATTCGTATAATGAACTTTGCTAATTATCAAGACCATGCAATACCTTTATTTTACGATTTCAAAATATTGCCAATGAGTTTTCTTTATTTTTACAATACCGCATGCTTTATGTATGATATTGTTAATGCAAAATCTCCCTTATATATTACTACCTTATAAAACAAGAGCGGCAGCTCGTAAAAATTTGTATCAACCCAGAGCTAGACTTAATATAACTTCAAAATCACTATCAAGAATGGGCGTGAAAATTTGGAACTGTTTACCACTATCAATTCGTAATTTGAGTAAATCAACATTTAAAAAGAAATGTAATGAATGTTGCTAGAAATTTTAAATACTTGCGATGATTATGCAGACAGCTTCGACGGTTTCTTAACTTATATTCAAAAACTCATTAATAATTCATGAAGCAATTGCTACCATTTTCGAGCTTCCGTGAAGCGTGCATTTATAACTACGTTTCAAAACGTTTCTGCAGCATGAGTTTGTCAATCATAACTTTTTGTTTTGCAATAATAACTTTTGTGGGCGTGGTGTCAAGCACATTGTTTTGCACGCGAAAATTTCTTCTTA